CATCTAGAAAAGAATTAAAAAATGACTTGTTGATGATTAATTCGTTAGTAATTTTAAATTCCGCATATTACACCCATTCACCCCCTCTAGGTGTTGTTAGGGTCGAACTTGCGTTCCTCAGTTTCCTCGACTGGATCATGCAGGCCATGAGCCTTATTGACTGGACAGTGTGACTGCTCAACCTACATTTACACTTACAACTTCGATAAACAAGTCTATGGCTGCGCTTAAGGTTTTATTTCTATAAAACTAAAATTTAAAAATCATCTTTGATAACGAAGTAACTTAAAAGTAAATTTATTTATCTTGTTCTTGAACACAGCCAAAAATGCTGGAACAGTAATTGAAATCTTGAAGGACACATTGCATTGTTCCACCAACTCCAGTATTTGATTACTTAAAGTTGTGGCATTGAAGCTGCAAGCTGATGATGCACTTGTTACTTTTTGGTATCACAGAGTGTCATAAACTTCAATATTTCTGGGCGTCGGCCAGCGTGGGTAGATCAGTGGGGTTATGCTTATGCATCTTTGTTTTCTGGTTCAAAGAAAAAGTCATTTGTGGATCTATCAGCTTTTCTTTTGCATAAAGCTGAATACATTTTCATGTTAATATAGAGAGTTAAATAAGATTATATTATATCGATTTGAAGAAAACCTTGATGAAAATGTAGGTTTGGAAATGGGAATGAGTGGTGCAGAAAGGTCTAAATACTCTACCTTCCTTTTTAGCCCGTCTTATGTTTGAGATTGAAACAATATTTTCGGAATTTTCGAGGATGAGGAATTTGAGGTGGGGGACCTTTATCCAAGAAACTTCTGGACATTAAATTTTGAATTTCAGAATCCAATAATAATAATAAGCTATATTGAGTATAACTTTATGCAAATCTTCCTTTCCCAGGAGGAACTGAACATAGGATGACTGTATTTCTTGATTTCTTATATAAGAAAGAACTGTAACCAACAAGGAATTGATTATTAATAAAAAAAGCGTTAACTGAGGGTGACAAACAGGTGTAATAACTAGGTTTTGGGACCAGAGTAAGTGGGAGGTTATGGGAAGAACATGGTTCTCATTTCTGGTTTTCCCGCTCAACAAAAGGCCAATGACTTGGTCGGTTTTTTCCATTAAAAAAATTTGTATGGTGCAGATTATTCTTCATTCTTGCACCAACTTTTCACTTTTATCTTATATATGTGTGAACTTAGCCTTCTTGCTTTTGCATGTCTACCAGAGTTTACTGTTTATATATAGCAACTTGGTATAGTGCTCACTTTCGATGCTCGTACGGAGAACTCTTCAAGTTTCTTTCAACTTAATTCCCAATACTTGTCATCCTTTTTCATCCACTTGTCAACATCCATAAATCTTGATTTCCAGATAGTGAAAACAATAGTTCTAGCGAGTAGCGAGGTTTCAGTTTATCACCACCCAAATCTGTTATCAATTCTGTTAAAGAATGGTGTCATTTCGGGTTTTTTTACTAGTTTTTCACTTCACTTTTGGTGCAACAATGTTTGTTAGCCAGGCTAGATATCGCTATCACCACCATAAAAAACACAAGCATCGTCATGAATTTCAAATTTCAGTACCTCCTTCTCCTCCGCCTGAGGCTTCCGGCCCGTCTCCTGATCATAATTGGTCGGGTGTCTATGATGTAAGAAAGTTTGGTGCTGTTGGTGATGGCGAAACTGATGACACCGAAGGATTCAAGTCAGCATGGGACACTGCCTGCCAAGTTGAGTCGGCAGTCCTCCTTGTTCCCTCTGGCTACTCTTTCATGATTCAGTCCACGATTTTCACCGGTCCCTGTCAAGGCGGCTTTATTTTCCAGGTGTTGTCCCTTTACGTTAAAGATTTCTTTGAAATGTTTAAATTTTTATATGCACGTGTAATGTATTTGACAATTGCGTGATTCTTGTGTCATTCCGAAGGTTGATGGAACAATTATGCCGCCTGATGGACCCAATTTCTGGCCAAAGAACTATAGCAGGCGCCAATGGCTGGTTTTCTATAGAGTTAATGAAATGGCAATGCAAGGAGGAGGTTTAATTGACGGTAGGGGTGAGCAGTGGTGGAATCTTCCTTGCAAACCTCGCAAGGTACTTGTAATAGATTTGCTGAATCTACCGAATTGGTTTAATTTACATTCTGCTAAAAAAATTGCCTTCGTCAATGACAGGGAGCCAACAGAACGGCTTTGACAACACCATGTGATAGTCCAATTGTAAGTGATACGAAAAGCTTTTACGAACATTATTTTGTTTGGTGATGAAAATTCAGCATTACTTTTTTTTATTTTATTTTGGTTTTAGGCCATACGATTCTTCATGAGCAACAACCTGACAGTCCAAGGAATAAAGATCAGAAACAGCCCTCAATTCCACTTCAGATTTGACAACTGCAGGGACGTCTATATAGAATCAATTCTCATAACTGCTCCAGCCTTAAGTCCCAACACTGACGGTATTCACATAGAGAACACAAACAACGTTGGAATATATAATTCCATAATCTCCAATGGTCAGCATAGCATCCTTTTTAGCTTCTGATATTCTCTGTTTCACTACTATCAAATACTCATATTGTCCAAATTCCAGGTGATGACTGTGTCTCAATAGGATCGGGTTGTTATGATGTAGACATTAAGAATGTCACTTGTGGACCAAGCCACGGAATTAGGTATGGAATGGTACTTTTTCGAAAACGCTTATGAATTTTCCATTTTTCCACGACGTTTAAAAGCTTTACTCCCCGTTTCAGCATAGGGAGCTTAGGCAATCACAATTCAAGTGCCTGTGCGTCCAATATTACCATTAGGGACTGTGTTATAAAGAATTCAGATAATGGAGTTAGGATCAAGACATGGCAAGGAGGTTCTGGAGCTGTATCTGGTGTTGCATTTGAAAACATTCACATGGACAACGTTAGGAACCCAATCATAATCGATCAATTCTACTGCCTGAGCAAAACTTGCACCAATCACACCTCGGCTGTATATTTATCTGATATTCAGTATACGAGCATAAAGGGAACATATGATATCAGAAGTCCTCCAATGCATTTTGCTTGTAGTGATTCGGTTCCGTGCACAAATATTACACTTTCAGATGTAGAGCTCCTTCCGGCCAAAGGAGATGTAGTGTTGGATCCATTTTGTTGGAATGCATACGGTGAACTGCAGACACTAACTATTCCTCCGGTTTCTTGCTTGTTGGAGGGCATTCCTCGATCTATCTTAGAAACTGATACAGCCTTCTGCCGATTGAACTAGGCTGTGTTCCTCTGCCAAATATTTGTACATAATAATTGGAAGACAAAATTACTGATGTTTGGTGGTATGGAACATCAAACTGTAACGTGATTGAAGAGGGACATATTATAAATCCCACTTCATCATTTAATCTTTAGTACTCTTTCTTTTGAGTTGATTAGGTTCTTCATTTCGCCATTTCTCTAAGCTCAGTGTTTCATTAGACATGTTTTTGGATGTGTGTTGGCAGGGGCGGAGCCAGCCCTTTAAACTAGGGGGGTCCCGGAGTTGAAGGGGGCGGGGGCTCAC